ACCTCTGATTGGTTGCTTCATTCATAAGTGCAACAGACGTGTGTGTGATTGCTTTTAAGGCAAAAGATATATTTAAATGAATAAAAAGAAAGCTGCATGATGCAACAGCCACAGATCAAAATGTAATACTGCACTTGTGACACCTTTCAATTGTTTCTGCATCACTTAATAAGCCATTTTTTGTCCTGTTTTGCTACAGGGCTCCGCACTGTGGTGATATTTTTCTCCCAGTGCTTGATTTGCTCTCCATGAGTTCATGGTGTTAAATATCATGCATTGTCTTAACTTTAATGTCATGGAATTTTTTTAAATCCGCGTAGAGCTGTGAAATGCATCATAAACCGTTGAGTGGGATTATGAACACTGTGTGAAAAATATCGATGGCATTATAGGTTTGCCTATGTGTTGTTGTATTATGTATCAGCATTAAAGATGTTAAAAATAAGGATTTTGTCATAATTGCTTGATCCAAATCCTGAATGACTGACTTTCTTCAGTTGAACATGAAAGTAGATCTTTTAAAAATGTCTCAGTTGGGTTTCCTTACAATGGAGAGTCGGCAGTAACTAAAACTGATTAGTAGAAGACAGTCAGTCATGCAAGTTTGGAATGGCGTAACAAATTTTAATCAATATCAGTTTATATATAAATAAATGTAAGTTTTTTTTTTTTTACCTTTACCTTTAAATTATGGATGAGACAGAGGTCGGGATTTTTTTTTTCTATTGTAAGAAATGAGATGCATCCCAAATCGCATACTTATGCACTATTTTACGCTTTTTATACAATAATGTAAGTAGTGTGTTCACACTGAAAGCTCTAAAAATATCAAGTGCACTTTAAATACCCAAATGATGCACTTATTCAACCGGTAAAATGAAGTGTGGATTGTTTGACACTTTATGCACTCAACAGCCGCTGCTTTGCTCGCGTAGCGGAAGGGGGGGAGCTTTCTTGCACTGACATTGGATTACTTCATTTTTATTGTGAAAGCAAAATTTTCCTTTGACAGTGATTTATAGCGCCTCCTGATGGTAAATGCGTTTATACTCATGTCAGGTATTTTTTGATAGATTGGCCATATATTTTGCTAATTTGGCAACCGTCAAACATCATCAGGGAAATGGTTTGATTCTCCAAACAAAAAATATTAGTGTTCCATTTGGGACAACACTACATACTATGCTTTTGAGTGTGTGAGTGCATAAGTACATAGTGCATTGTGTGCCATTTGAGATGCAGCTATTGTAGTTGTAATGACTTGATTTTGTACACCAGGATCTGATTGCGTTATTGGATTGTGTGGAGTGTAAACTTTTTTTTTCTTTGATTTTAATCCTATGTCAATGTCAAAACAGCAGTGTGCTACACTCTCAGAAATAAAGACACAAAACCTGTCACTGGGGTGGAACCTGGGGTTGGTAGATATGGCAAAATTTTAGATCATATATATAGATATAATTCTTAACTTCGGTCGATACAATATAATTTCAATATCGATGTGGACTATTGAAAAGCCAGGAAAAAACTGGCAAGAACGCACACAATGGATGTCTGTACCTACAAATGTCTGCAAACTGAATTTGCAAAGTATTTACCTCCAGGCTTTTATAACTTTTATTTAAAAATCAATTTATATATTGATATTGAATTATTGTCCAACCCTAGTGGAACCTTTTGAAAAAGTAAAATTTTAGGCCATACAAATGCACATTTGTACTTTAAAGGTACAAAAGTGAACATTAAAAGTAACGCTCTGTACCTTTAAAGTACTGCGAGTTACAGATTTGTGATTATGTATTAATATTTATGTTTAAAGGTACAAAAGTGTACATTTTGAAAAGTTACAGCCTTTTCAGTAAGCTTTTAATTAATGAAAAGAATTTAATGACCGAGTATCCTGAATTCATCTACCATGCTCAATGTATTTACCACTAAAAAGGCAAATGCATAATGCTGTAACTTTTAAGTATGTTATATGTAAATCCCAGATTGATCGGATTTCTCAATTTTAAACAGGATCAAATTTGATATGTAAGAGTGCAGATTATTGTTGTTATTGGTTTTACATACTGTGTCTTTAAATTGAAATCGAAATCCCAGACTGATTAGTTTTTAGCATTTTAAACAAGATAATATTTGTAAATAATAATGCAGATTATTGGTAATTTCAGTTTCATCTCTTTGAATAAGGCGGTTGTCTTCTCATAAATCGACTCAGTTCAGCAGTTGTATGAAAAACATGCTTTGAAAGGAGCTGTCAGCAAATGAATCGCCGAAGCTGCTACACAGATTGCTAAAGAGCCGAAGGGCCCAAAACCAACAGACCTCATATTTCTGAGAGCAGCCGAAGCGTCTAATTTCATCCAAATTGTCTCAGCTTATCGCCCTATCCTCATGTCACATGGTTGTGGTAGTATCAAAAAAAAATAAAAGTCACCATTAGTTTTGGTTTTGAAATGCGGATCCAGATGGGCCATTTTCTAACAGATTTTTGTGCTTATCCTATTGCATTTATAAAAATAAAAAGGAAATGTTTTATTATTGTAGTTTAAATTAAGTGTTTTCTATGGTAGTATTTTAGCTGCTATTTTAATCGGGGGATTACTTGGTAATTTCCAAAAATTTCATATATGTCATTAAACTATTAAAATTACCATATTTAATTCATAAACTACAGAAGATAAAAATAGTTTTAAATAGTTACATAAAAAAACAACAACATACAAATAAAAAGCCATCAGACTTTCAATTCTTTTCCATTGTGTTGCAACCCTTGGGGTTATTGCACTAGATTAATGACAGTAATAGCATTAGTTGCAGCAGATTGATTTTACGGCACAATGTTAAACTTTGACACTCTTACAGTGCTCGCATAGATTAAAAATAAAGGTCAAGGCTGAACATGGTCGATGATCTCCAAGTGGCGGTCTCCAAAATTAAACCAAGAGTGGTCTTATGCTGTGCGTACCATTCCTGTGCCCATAAAGTGAGGTTAATATTAAGTTAAACAAATGAAAAGCAACTACATATGGTTGTTAGACTATTACACATTTTTTGTGTTGTCAATATGCTTGTGTTCATAAAGTTCCCATTGGTTTGTGTGCACAGTTGTGTGCAATGTTTGTGTGTTTATAACCACCTCTGAGGATAATGGGGTCGCGAGTCACTGGAGTTGTTATCTTGAGAGTCACGGGCTAAAATGTTTGGAAATAGGCATGGGAGGATAACTGTTTTCAAGGTATACCACGGTTTGGAAATTCAAGGTTTTAAAACCAACAAAATGTTCTGCTATACCTTTCTTAAGGTTTATGTAAGATTTTTTTATTTACTTTTTTGTCTTTAGGACAACATTATTTCCAGAAAAGATATCCAAAGACGTAATTTAAAAAAAGATTAAATAAAATCTGTGTTTTTGAAACAAATTAAGACTGAAGTCAAAGATTCATTTGAATTATTTAGCTTGACATGTTTACTTTGGGTATCTGCGGGGTCTTCAATTGTCTTCAATTTCAAAAAACTAATTTTAGGTCTTAAAAAGTCTTAAATCCACTAAAATTGTGTTGTAGTTCTTAAATCATTTTAAACGGGTTTTATTTTTCCATGTAAATCTATACCCAATTGAGCCAAAACCTATCCAATCACTAACAATATAATTCAATAAAAGTTCTAAAAATATATTTATTTATTCTCTGTTTACTTATTGATATGGCTAAATTATCTTCCTTACAATAACATTTGTTTAGAATGTATTTTTTTTAAGGTTTTAACTTGGCCATTAAAAAATCTTTAGGGTTTAGCCTTGTGTAAGTCTGAATTTTCATTTATTATGGTCTTAAAATGGTATTTAAAAGTCTTAAATTGGACTTAATGAAACCTGTAGAAACCCTGTATACTGCTCCAAAATATTTAAAATGTTTCTCAGTATAAAATTTATTTATCACAATATCGTGAAACCGTGATATTTTTATCCACAGTTAACATACCATCAGCATCTTATACGGGCCCGTTTATATTCATTTTTAGACACTACAATAATAATATTTTACCTTAATTATTTTTTGTCTTAATATTATATCTAGCAATATTTGGTAAAATAAAGATTTTTAATCACAACAAAGGAAAATAACGATGCATTTTCTTAAAAGAAAATGTCATTATAGACTAAATCAGATATTAACATTTTGCCCAAAAACTTGAGCCCAATAATTTTTGATTTTTAGTTTTTTGTTTTTGTTTTCTTTTTTTAAACTGGTTTGAATGCCACTTCATGTGCGGTTATTAGAGCATACGGCCTGCACTGCTGCATTTAGCCCAGTTGTCCTGGGGCTTTTGGTTGTACTTGTCGCACTTTAAGCAAAAGTACATCCCCACTTCTATTATTTATGGTCAAAGCATATAATCTCTGCACCAGATTAAATCACAAAACACTGAATATCAAACAGGTTTCCTAAAAGTCCCCTTGTCAACATATAAGGCTGACTAAACTTAACCAAAACCACCACACAGACCATCTTTTGTGCCAAAGTCAACAACCATGTGATATTTGATACGTGAGGTGTTGCCATTCACGGGACTCCTGTAAATACCTTGAGCATGTATTAGTCTGGCTTTCGCACTGTTTACATTTAATTCCCTTTAAACAAAAGGCTCACTGAGGCGTAAGAATGCACCGTTGTCAAAACCTTGCGTTGACTTCTGTATCGCTTCAGAGCGGTGATTTATTTATTTATCTGTTTCCACCCTCTGCATTGCAGGTTAAGCCTGTGGTCGAGGACGCTCTGTAATTTTACAGGTGATGGTTCTTGACGTCACTATACCGTGGTATACTGTGTCTTTGTAATGCTTTAAAGTCCGTCCAGTCATCAGCTGCTTGACTGATGCTCTAAATACCGTCCCGTCCCCCCGTGGTGTGGGATCAGTCGTTCTGATAAACAGCGCTGATCAGATTTCAGCAAGCACATAGTGGCCCATTTACAGACCTGCCGTTTTCCAGTGAATTTGACCCACTAAGAATCTTACAGCGGGGAAAGCAGGAAGGTTGGAGGCTGTAAGCAGGTATTAGGAGCTGGGACTCGCTGCTGTTTCACAGTGCAGCTGCAGCTCTGCTTGCTGTGGTTCGGTGGGACACGCAGACCTGAAGCCAAGCCAAGAACCGAGAGGAGGTGTGAAGCAGGAGCTATTGTTTTGCGGTCTGTTATGGACTGTGTTTTTAGTCACATTGTGTCCCGGTCGCACCTGAACGCTTGGCCCTCTGTGTTGGAGCGTGAGGTGGTCAGTTAATGTAAGTGCTTTTCTGTCTGATTCGTCTTTATTGGCTTGTTTCAGACTTTGGATGCATTTGATTTTGTGGACTTGCATTCATGTTGTCATACTGGGTTGATTTCAGCTTATCAGGTGATTATTGTAGCTTTTAAAATTTTTGATTTAGGTATTTTTTTAGACAATAAAAATCAAACACGTCATAGTATCGTCATAATCTTTATGTAATCTGTTGAAATGTTCGATTGTAGTCAAATTTCTCATTATTAATCCTGTTACCACATGATTTTACTGTTTTTGCCAACAGTGTAATGTTGATTATTTTGACATCTTTGAAGGAAGAGACGTGATTCTGTCCTAAGCTGGTTTTGTCAAGAGCTACCTTCTGCTGTGTTTATTGTGGTGGAAAACACTGATTTCGCTTACATTTTTAGAAAATAATTGCAAAGGAAAGATCCAGATAGTTAGAAACCTGCAGTTCAAATCAATGTTTTCAACTGTATTGGATTCATCCCAAAGGTTTATTTCTTGTGTGTTCTTATTTCATGTTGTTCTACAATTATAGAATGTATTTTTTATTACAAATTATAGAAATTGACTACAAATTAATGTTTAGTTCTTTTGGTAGATAGCTTTTTCCGATTTAGTAATATTAACTTTATTTTAACTTTTTTATATTTTCATTTTGCTGTCTGACTAATTTTGATCTGAAAGATTACTTGAGGTTTATATTATTGAGTAATCTGGATTTTGTGAGTTTCTGGCTGTACTCAGTGTCTTTGTTAAAAACAAAAAAACAAACTATTAAACATTTTTTCCCTAGTTTAGAATAACCACCAACCAATATTTAGTTCCTGAATAGCATTTTAAGTGACTAAATCTTAATTTTGTAATTTATACTTTTACCTGTGTTGTTATTTGACTTATTGTAATTACTAGAAAAATGTTTATAAATGATTTAAGCTGTATTTAAACATAGATTTCTTGAGATCTGTTTATTAAAATCCTGTTAAAGCTTTGTATTGATATCTCTTTTTTGTTTTAAAAAAAGTTTAAGGTTTATAAAAACAACTAATAATCAATATTTGGTTCCTAACTTGGTATTGTTTCAGAAAGAATTTTCACAGCCCCCCCAAGGAATTCTCAAGATTAATACACTAATACATATTTTCTTATAAGGAGCTTCTTGTTTGACTGTTTGTTATTGTGATCTAGGCTCTCTTTTGCATTGTATATTTGAAAAATTATTAGACCAAAATGTACCATTTAAAGTTAGTTACTTTCTTTATTTAGATTTTGTCGTTGTTTAAACATTTTCTAAATATAAATGCATGTGAAAGTTTTATTGGGGTTGATAAGTAATTTTGACCTAAACAGTAGGCACCTTTTTTACATACTATTTGATGTTTTCTATCATGTTCAACACTTTATTTTGATATGTACAAAGTAGGGCTGCACAATATATCGTTTCAGCAAATAATATCGCAATGTGCTTATTTGCAATAGTAACATCTCAAAGATATGTAATGTCCAGTCTGAATTCTAGTTGACCAGGAGTTACAGAATTGCATTTAATCACTGTATTTATATGGAATTTATATGATTTATGCTTAAAAAAAAACTTTTCTTACTTAGAATTTTTTGTCTTGTTTCTAGCCCAAATATCTACATGTCAAAGCGAAACCAAGATTATTTCACAGACTCCACTGGCAGATAATATTATAATAACATGCAACAAAAAAAACTCCTAATTTTCACTTTTTTATTTATTTTTATTTTTGTATTTATTTATTTTTTTATGGTGAAAACTAAACAATATTTTTACTTGAGCTTAGATATTTTGATATTTGGACTAGAAACAAACAAAAAAAAGTTAGAAAAGCATTTTTTGCAGTGCGATTTATTTAATTGTTCTACCTGAATACTGTTAGACTGCCCAGAAAACCACAAAATAGTGCTAAACTTGTCTTGTGAAACTGTATTCATATCACAAAGTTTATTGCAGAAAAATAAAATAAAGCAATATCAGATTTTTCCAATATCATGTAGTACAAAGTGTTCTATTATTGTATTTATATAATATTTCTTTCCTGCTTTAACATTTTGTTTGTCTTCCCGAAACCTGTTTGTTAAACAGCTTCATTTCCTCTGATCTTTTATTCCACCTGTCAGTGTGAACATTGTGTAATGATGTCCCCATCTCTCTTGTTTTGACAGCTGAAGGCGTCTTTGTGGACGGGACACTTTGAGGGCCAAACAATGGAATGCTCTCTCCTGCCTTCACCGCACTGCACTCAACAGACTGAGGTTAAACGCTTTAGTTAGCAGTGTGCCTCTTCCCAAAAAACTCTCTTTAGCTAGGGGAAAGTTGGGAGAAATAAAACAAAAAACACACAAGTGAAGGAAAACGACCTTCATAGTACAGCACCTTATTCCACTTCTTTGTAGTTCGAGTTTGTCTTGGATTCTTTCAGAAGCTTTACGTGCACAAACACCAAGATGGATTTGGAATCGTATCTGTGGATGGTGGTGATTGGCTTCATTATAGCCTTCATCCTGGCATTTTCGGTGGGAGCCAATGACGTGGCCAACTCATTTGGGACGGCGGTGGGGTCAGGAGTGGTGACGCTACGTCAGGCCTGCATTCTGGCATCCATATTTGAGACCCTGGGCTCCATGCTCCTTGGTGCCAAGGTCGGGGAAACCATCCGGAAGGGAATTATAGACGTCAGTTTGTACAATGACACAGTGCCCATACTGATGGCGGGAGAGGTCAGCGCCATGGTCGGTAAGTGATGGCTCATTTAAAGTTGAAAGCTCAATGTGTCATTGCGAAGATTAACGATGGAGAAGCTTACTGAGGCATTTGTTTGTTCAATGTTGGCTGCCGGATTCTGGTAGTTGTAACCACTGTGAAAAAAAAAGTTGTTGCTGCTTTTACATTTTGAAGTTGAAGCAATTTAACTTTACAAGTTATTTAATGTTGCATTGAAACTTGATTAACTTATTTAAATGAATTCTATTACATGTTACTACATGTAATTACATAGCTTTATACTACTACAAACTACATGTAACTGCTTTTGATGACATTTTTGATCATATACTTTTTATTAATGCCGAGTTTTTAAGAAATCACTTCCAAAAAATTTATCACACTTTATTTTAAGGTTTCAGTCTCGAAATTAAACTGTGCATCAGCCACAGCCATGTCACCCTGCAGCCCAAGACCGGTTACTCACTGAAGCTAAGCAGGGCTGAGCCTGGTCAGTACCTGGATGGGAGACCACTAGGGAACACTAGGTTGCTGTTGGAAGTGGTGTTAGTGAGGCCAGCAGGGGGCGCTCAATCTGTAGTCTGTGTGAGTCCTAATGCCCCAGTAAAAGTGAAGGGGACACTACACTGTCAGTGGGCGCCGTCTTTCAGATGAGACGTTAAACCGAGGTCCTGACTCTCTTTGGTCATTAAAAATCCCATGGCTCTTCTCGTGAAAGAGCAGGGGTGTAACCCCGGTGTCCTGGCCAAAGTCCCTCTATCGGCCCTTACGATCATGGCCTCCCAATCATCCCTTTCCACCGAATTGGCTCTATCACTGTCTCTCCACTCCACCAATAGCTGGTGTGTGGTGAGCGCACTGGCTCCATTGTCCTGTGGCAGCCATCGCATCATCCAAGTGGATGCTGCACACTGATGGTGGTGTGGAGAGACCCCCCCCCCTTCATGATTGTGAAGCACTTTGGGTGTATGGCCATACACAATAAATGCGCTATATAAATACACATTAAATTACATTACTTCTGAAATCGCATACTTATTGTATGTAAAAACAGTTTGTTAGCAGTCTAAATTCACAGTATTTGAAAAACAGTTGGTAGGAAGTTCTGTTACTTCCAGGAAGATTCTGAAGTGCGCATCCAGTGGCGCTTTGCTTTCCCATAGTGCAGCAAAAGAGAATATATAAGGGAGAGAAGCTACACAGCTGTCAGACAAATGGTAGATGTACTATATCCAAATTCCATTCACACTATTTCTAATTATACTGTATAGAACACTTTTCTAATTGTTTAAATTTTGTACCTACTTGACGACTATGAGATTTTGGGCACAGCTTTTAACTTTTGCCTCAAAAAATTGCTGCTTATTAAGGTAGTAGTGTTGTCTTTATACTTTATTTTGGTATCAATCTGGAAGTTTTAAAAGCGGCCATTTTTCCGTTTTAACATTTGATTGCTGTTGAGCGTGTACTTAAACACTGCTGATTGCCCATTGTGTTCATGTGCTCAACAGAAATCACTGTGATTGGCCTTGAAGGTTATCAGTTCACTGCACTTTACTGGTGTTCACAGAGTGCAAACACAGATATAGGGACACTGTTATGTTTCAGAACCTTGAAGATCTGTCCATCCATTAACTGATCGCTATAGACAGTCTAGCTGATCTTCGCGGCTTTGAAATGCTATAAGGATGTGTTCAAATGTTAGCAGGGAATAAACGTTGTTAATTTCTGTACTGATTACCGAAATTACAGAAATTACAGTATCGTGACAAGACTATAATCTAGTAGTTAAGTTTACATATTTGTTCTGATTAGGGGTGTAAGGGCTAGGACACACCAAGTTGACGGTCGGAAGTTTCTGTTTCCTATTCTAAAGTAAAACTTTGTTAGTTTGGGAAATAAATTGTTTGGGCTAAAAGTTACTTTTAAAAGTAATATATTACTATTGTGAGTCACTTCGTTTTTTTTTTTTTAGTTACTAAATAAGTTGCTTAGTAGGGCTGCATGATAGTGGAAAAAATGGACAATGCGATATTTTGTTTTTCTGCGATATACATGGCGATATGAATATAATTTCACAAAAAGTGACATAAAAGAATTCATACATCTACATAAAACAAAAGCCATTTGCAAGCATAGATTAATTCAATAAAACAAAGATAATCTTTTATAATTTTCTGTGGAGTCTTAGAACATAAATTCAACATTAATCAAATAACATTGAATTGTCTTTATTGTATAAATAATTTAATACAATACAATCTTTGTGAATTTCTTAGTTATTCGCTTGATGTCTTAGTCCCAGTTCCTTAAAACACATCCAAATGAAAATCTTTTTCTCTATTAGGGTTCACATTAGCTATAACTCCACAAATCATGTTCTGAAATGTGGTGGTCATTGTAATCACAACTCATATTGCAGATCCTGGGATGGGACTACTGCATATTCACACATTGCGATATCGATGCTAAAACAATATATTGTGCAGCCCTATTACTTAGTTACTTTTTAAGGAGAGTAATGTGAAAGTATTTTATTTTATTTTTTTTAAAAGAAATTAAGATTAAGGCTTAAACTTGTTATATATAAGTTTTAAAAGTAACTTTACCCAACACTGCTTATAAACTGCTAATATGTTAATAATAGAGATGCTAACAAGCAACTACTTAATAGAGACAATAACTTAAGTACTACAGAGAAATTGGTTTAAAAAATTTCTGTTATCAAATGGATGCTTTCAGTTTTTAATGAAATCACACGTCTTTGGGAGTTTTTATAAATTTAGCTTACTCAAGATGGAAATTCTGTCATCCAGTGTTTATACTTTGGCAAGTGTTTTTATTCTTGGTTCGGGTGTGAAAAGCTCAATATGGGTTAGCAGCAGTTTACTGTTAACAAAGCGCCCATATTGCTGACAGAGTTGTGGATGAACATGTAAAAATATGCTGCTTGCTTTCTCCTTAATATATACAACAAAATTACATTGGTGAGAACCATAAAGAACCATCTGATCCTAGTAGGTTGGATGTTTGCACAAGCTTTGCAATTTAGTGCTTTAGTAAAGTCATGTCACGTTTATTCATATAGCATGTTATACAGTAGATTGCTTTACATTAAGCAGCTGAAAAACAGTAATAAACATTGAACAAAAAGTGTCAGCATTGCTTTCAGATGGAGTTAGAGCTTAATTTTATTTAATGAATTATAAAGTAGCAAGAAAGGAGATCTTGCTAATGTTGCAATTATAAAGTAATTGTAATTATGTTATGTAAAATAATTTGACATTTACAAAAACTAATCATGATTTATTATTTAGTTAGGTTATATATGACTCCGTTGGAAAAGCTATAGAAATGAAAGATCAAAGCATGCTCATTAGTCTCTGGGAATACAATATATCAGCAATATAAGTCATCAATAATATAATAAAATTATTGGCAAGATCTGTTAAAGTGAATAAATCATGGATTTTTCCAACAGAGACATAAGAACTGCATTTTGTAAATAACTGATCAAAATCAATCATTTGGATGGTCGCTTGTAGTTTCCTTATTCTCTGCAATTAAGTTTTAAAAAATAAAGTTAATTGTCCTCTTTATTTGTTTGCCTTTTTATTTTTGGAAGGAATCAGAAATCACACCCAAGACTTGTGTTTATCAGCTTATATAAGGTTTACGAATATAATATAGTATAATATATTATAATATAATATAATATAATATAATATAATATAATATAATATAATAGGGCTGCACAATATTGTTTCAGCATCTATGTCATTGTAAAATATACCATTAACAGAGTGAAACTTTATCATTTTCATGTGTTTTAAAGTTATTTCAAGAGAGTGTAAATCATTCAGCCACAAAAAGTACTTTGGTAACTTTAATGAAGTACAATTTTACTGAATTATTAATACAATGCAGACTATAAAGTGTTATTTTACATTTCATTATTCAATTTCTGTACCTGTGTACTGTTTGACTCCGCGCAAAACCATAAAGCATTTTTCGTTGCTCTGTTTATTTTTATACAGGCTTCACACCCTTACAAAATCACCCCAATCAATCTAAATGAATTATTTCTTTCCAAATAGAGCTATTCAAGTCATCTGGGGAAATTGTATTCATATCACAATATATATAGTGAAAAAACGAAATATTGATTTTTTTTTCCAATATCGTGCAGCCCTGTAATGTTTATTAATATAATATGAAAATGTATTCGTTATCAGAATCAGCCAAAATTTGTCATTACTACTAATAATTTAGCCTTCTAACAATTTTTTAAACTAAATGTTTATTGCAGCCATACTCAGAATGCTGTAAACATAGTTTGCTCTCTAATGTTACTATATAAGTGCACTGTAAAAACAGCTGGTTTCCACACAATTGATTTGTTTGGAGACAACATTAAGGATTTAAGTTAACTTATTAGTTTTTACAAATAAAAAAAAATGCATTGAACGTAAAACAGTTATGTTTGTTCCCAAAAAACTCCAGAATTGTTGTTGCAGCTCATTTTAAATGGGTAGTTAAATGAGTAGTTTGAACAAAACGTCATTTTTTTATGTTAATAAAAAATGTGGTTTGGAGTGTAAATAAAAAACACATAAGTATGTGTTTAAATACCAATGTACTAAAACAGGGTAGACTAAACGCACAATACATATACAGTACGTGTAATTTTTAACAAAATCACATCCATTTGGTAGTATACAAAAGACAATAACAGTATTGTTTTCAAAATTTGCTCTTCCTAAAAAAGCTTTAATTTTTGTTTGAAAAAGCAGCGTTTCCATCCAATGAGTCAAAGAGAACAAAATTGTCACTTCCTGATTAATTGGTGCCAAATATCAACAGTAAAAATGGAATTTATTGAGGTAGGATAAGCTGTGTCAATCTTTTTCTCATTTAATAAATTACTTGTTCTTCAGAAGACTGTACTGTATGTTAACGTGGTGGTGTTTGAAGTCATTAGACGCGGAGCACAGTGATACTTTGATATAACTCTTGATAGTTCTGGAGGTAATTAATAATATAATAACACTAATGCTGGGATGATTAGGCATTTTAGAAAGACCAAGGCAAAATTTTTGCTGCTTTACAATGCGGTGAACCTTCTGGTTTTTCCATTCACGCACATTTTTATCAACACATGATCTTTTGTAACAAAATCACATGACATTTAGTGCGTATACTGGAATTTGTTCGGTAAAACTGTTTCTATCGTAGTTTATGCAATTTTTTCATACTGAATAAAAAGTTTTTTTTAAACTCAAAATAGATCTTGCTGTTTTTAATCAACTGTTTTTTACACGCTTATACAAAATGTGCATAAAAATTGGTGGATGGAAACGTAGCTAATGATATTGTGTAAAAACGCACTGAATCTGTTCAACAATTTTTTATTCAGGGGACTTTGATTTAAAATGCTTAATTTATGTGGATTAACTCCATATTTGCTCTTTTTATGAATGTTATGAAGTGTTTAAGTTTTGGCTTTTAAATTAAGCATTTTATTCTAATTACATACAATTATATTGCAAAGATCAACAAACATTTTATGTGGTTTGGTACAACGTGAGGGGGAGTAAATGATGACAGAATTTTCATTTTATTGTGAACAAAATCTCTGATGTCTTTTAATAATGAATGGCTACATTGTAATGTTTTATAGTATCCCGTAGAGATTGGACTGAAGGCAGAAGGGAGGAGAACATATGGCAGAAAGGCTTTTTTCGTTGCTCCACCTCCCACTCATTTTCCTGTCTCTTTCAGGGTCTGCGGTTTGGCAGCTCATCGCCTCTTTTCTGAAGTTGCCCATTTCTGGAACTCATTGCATTGTGGGATCTACTATTGGCTTCTCCATGGTTGCTATTGGCACTAAAGGAGTACAGTGGATGCAGTTAGTCAAAATTGGTAAAAAAAATTATAATAATTTATCATGCTATGGTATGTAATTGCATGCCAGGAAATGTTGAACCTTTAATGTACAGTATATTTATAAAATCTGTTACTGTTTCTGCTATCTAATTAATATTTTAAAAATATTTTCTAAATAAATACATCACTCGGAATGTTCTGATTAAATCCAGAATTAAATTAGTAAATTAAGACACTTATGATGTAACAAAAATTCAGAATCAAAAAAATGCTGTTCTTTTGAATTTTCTATTTAACAAAGATTTTTATTTATTTTTTTATTTCAGTGATGATTAATTAAAGGGAGAGTTTACTCAAAAATTTAAACTTTCTCACAGTTTGCTCTCTTCGAAATGGTTCCAAACCTTCATGAATTTATTTTTTCTGGTGAATACGGATGCAAAGATTAACCGGTTTCACTATTAACTGCAATTTAATTTATCACAGTTAACTAATCATAAAGGCTTCTCAACACCACGTTTCTGCATGGAACATGACTGCTGCAAATAAACAAATTTATGCCAACTGTGCGTTAGTTTAAATTTTCGAGCTTGAATACCAAGGCTAATATGCATGCAAACTGGAGCTGAGGCTATTAACTAAAGGCCATTCTCATATCGTGTCTTTTGTGCATGCAATTTCGTTATTTTCAATGGAGGCACATATTGGGAGCGCCATGCTCACACTTTCCAGGCGCACCTAGTTGAAAAAATGCAGTGAGCGCACCGCAAGTCACGTGACAAGAACTGACTGGTCAGCTTTATACTTTGCATGGAATATATTTTTAGTCCAAAAAGAAATAAGACTAAATAAAAATACTAAACAATTGTGTAATAGTTGATCAAAAGTGCCTTTCAGACAGAGGTTTAGCAGCCTTTGACCACATTTGTTCTCTTTAAAAGGAAAATACTTGGCTAATATGAAGCTTAGATTTACATTAGACAAATAATTTTATCTATTAATTCTTATTTTTATTTATTTATTTATTCATTTAATTATTTATTCATTTATTTATTCATTGTTCAGTGTAAAATTATTACTTCCAAATAAATTAAGTCCAAAGAAAGAAATGGACTATTATTTGTTTTTTTTTTATTATTATTTTGTGCTGTATTCTTTAGTTACTGAGCAGAAATAAATAACATTTTAAAATATTAGGAGTTTTCATGTGAATTTCAAAAGTGTTATGTTTTGAAATTAATGAATACATAATAATCGTGATAACCATGAAACCATGATTATTCTTTAGACTATAATCATACAACCTAAATCTAGAATAGTTGCATCCCTACTGGGGAACACAAAATAAGATACTTTGAAGAATTCAAAGCCAAAGTAGAAAAAAAAATGCTCTGGATGTCAATGGTTACAAGTTTCCAAGATCTTTCTAAATATCTTCTTTTGTTTCAAAGAAGAAGGAACTCAAACAGGTTGTTGATTGAAGGTTGGCAGAATTTAGATTTTTGGGTGAACTATCCCTTTAAATTGATAAAATCTCAACTTTTTTTACTTTAAAAGGTGTAAAATAAATGCTTGTCTTTTCAACTTGGTCCATCTAATAATCAATCATATATCATCAATCATAATAATATAAATCATGATTACCACCAAAATGTGTATAGTTTATATTTTTATATTTTACCAAATCAACAAGGCATTAATGGACAGCCAAAGAGTATATAGACTCCTTGAAAATTCTCAGATTCTCTGGATTTATGTTTAAGTTATATGCTTGAGTAAAATGTAATTTAGTTTTATTGTGTAAAAAAAATGCAGGACATTTTTCTAAATTACTATAAAAATATTGCCAGGGAGCATAACAAAAACAGCACAATGTTTTGAGTTTTTATTGATCATTGGACAAGACAATACCAGTGTTTTAAATTCCGTAGCTGTACATGTTTGTATTATATAACAGTAATATTTTGTGGAATAACCCTGATTTTTTAGTCACAACAAATTAAACCACTTAGCATCATTGAAATAAAGATTTTTTATTTTATTTTAATCTATTTTAAAGTGTTTAGTTAAATTGTAACAATATTTCCCAGTGTTATTCTCATTGATGAGCATTCAACACTAAGGAACATTACACATTTGTCCAACCTCAAGCAATATTCTGTGTGTGTGTTTATGTATTGTTCCCTAGAGTGACATTTTCTCATTTATGTTGTCAATGCTATTCTATCTAAGATGTGTAATTTATTTATCATGGCCTGTTGGCCTTTCTGCCTCCAGCAGTGAAATGCGTCATTACTGTGGCGTGTTATTGATTTAATAATTGCTGTTTGTGTGATGCAGTTTCCTCGTGGTTCATCTCACCTTTGCTGTCTGGTCTCATGTCTGGCCTGCTCTTCTTCGTCATTCGATATTTCATTTTGAGCAAGGTGAGTCAGGTCGACTATTACTCTGTCTTACATCTCCTTATATCACTGATCTCGCTTTGACAAATTTTAACGTCAGTGTAGAAAAAGAAAAAAACAGATCAATGCTCATATGGACTTATAAGGGGTCCTATTATGCAAAAATCCCTATAATAAGGACTTTAAAAACAGCTGTGTGGCAACAGTGTGCGAGTATAACCAGCCTCTAATTCTAAACATTTATTAATTATATTTTTTTATGATCACACTTAATAAAAACAGTCTGCAGGAAGACTTTGGTTGACATTCTTCCTTTGAACATGTCATCAATGGGGGAAAGTCAAGCCTATTATTGAAATCTCTCCCTATTACCATAAACAGCCCTGAGTGCGAAGCAGCCATCCAGCATACCTTAATTGCTGATGATGATGTTAGTGACTAAGGCCTCGTTTACATTGATTCTTTTTCGTTTTATAACGCATACGTTTTGCTAGTGTTACACCATCTATCCACACTACCCCAGAGTTTTCGCGCCCTGAAAACTGAGCTTTTTGAAAACACTGAAGGAGCCATTTTCATTTTAAAATGCTGCTGCTCTGTGTCAGTGTGGATTGAGGAAAATAGAGACATCTGAAAACAAAAGAGGGGCTGCAGTCATTCGCCTGATGCAATCTGATTGGGGCTTTTTACTCCATATTAAGTAGCCTGCACAACACAGTTTTGCATCATTACCTTGTAAGTTCAGACTTTGCAAGATATGGAAAACAAACTCCCGTGGACACGTCGGGCAATTCTTCAAAGGGAACAGTGTACTTTATAACCTCATTCACATCACCCTGGCTATCTTAACAATAAAATAAAAACATGATTTAAGGAACTGCCTACTTTCATTTTGATATTAACTTAACAGACACTAAAAATGTTGAGGCATCATGTAGCTACATATTTTTTTGAATGTCATCTTAACTGTATACATATTTATAACAAAATGGAGCATGTAGCATAACTGCCTCCTTTCATTCTCATTGAAAATACAAAACATACATTGATTCAGTAGACCAAAATCGCGGAATATATCGTCAGATATAAACAACAAGATGAATTAAATATCACGTTTAACAAATATAGTGAGATTAGATCCAGCAGTTGATTTTTTTTTTTCCCATTTCAGCAAAAATGGCAGAACTCTACTTGCTCACTTTAGGATATTTTTTGTGTGGTCCCCATAGATCTGCTATCTACTAAATGGAAACAAAACTATTTGATCATACCATGATCATTAAAATACAATCAAGCAGACCAATTTACTTAAACTATTAGTAACTTTGAGTAATCACCATATGACTTAAATAGTATTATAAGTTTAGAGATAAATACCCACCCACATTTAGATTGGTCTCAACAATATTCTGTTGTTCTAAATAGAAAAGCTCATTGGCCTGTACATTCTAAGCATGCCTAAAATAATGCCACAAACTCACACAGGGGCTTACTTCTTACAGTCTCACCTTCTCATCATGTTTTGATTGAGATTTACGTCAAACATTGAATAAAATTGCATATTTCAAAGAACTTCACAGGATCTTTAAGTATTTTTTTTTATATTATTCTGATGACTAGTGTAAACCTTAAAGTGCAGTAGAAGCCTTTTACTGTCATATATATACCATTTGAAATATGTTTTCATTCTACTGACTCTTTCCAAGTAATGCCTGTGGCTGTTTAGATAGCTTTGCATTGACAATAGCTCATCTGTGGTCTGTGATGAGTCTGTTTTACAGTTGACTGCAGTTCATCTTTTAAATGTGTGCCTGGTGTCGACTCCCTCTCTGTAAACACTTACATATTTAAGCCTTAAAGAATTTGGTGCTGGGAAGTGCATTCTTACCTGCGGCCACATAAACACTGTGGTTTAAAGGAACAGTCCACCTTTTTTTTTTTACTTTACCTAATGTTGAGCTAGACTTCTGTGTCTTTGTTCTGTGAAAAACAAAAGGAAAATGATGAGCAGAATCTCCTAGCAACTGTATTTTTATGTGTAGAAAAGTGCCGTTTATCGTTCTGTGGTATTTCTCTGTGTAAATAGGGATATAGAATAATTATACAACTTTAAATATAACCAACAAATTCATAAAACTGTAAAAGAAAGCATAAATCTTGAACCTTCTACTTGTAATATTTCTAAAGTCATTTCTTTTTGCAGAAATACACCATAAATAATGACCAATTAGAACTATTATAGTGAAATAAAGCCGAGGTAAAATGGTAATTTTAGAACAGAACTCTTAATAACTATTGGCCATGAGCTGCTGCTTCGACAATATTAATGCCGAAGAGCTGAATAGCTCAAATAAAAAATAAAAAAACTAACTGAAACGGATATACAAAAATGCTTTAAAATAAAATGTAAGATATTTAATAATAAATAAATATTTAATAATTAAAATAAAAAGTGCATAATAGCCAAATACTTAAATGTAGGGCTTGCCAATATTATCATTTCAGCATAAATATCGCAATGTGATAATTCCCAATAGACACATCGCAGGATATATGCACTATTGAGTTTGTATTATAATTTATCATTTGCATTCTAACCTGCGGCCACATAACCACTGTGGTTTAAAGGAATAGTCCATCTTTTTTATTTATTTATTTTTTTCATTCAACCTAATGTTGAGCTAGACTTCTGTGTTTTTGTTCTGTGAAAACCAAAAGGAAGATGATGATCTCCTATAGCAACTATATTTTATGTGTAGAAAAGTGCTGTTTATCATTCTGTGGTATTTCTCTGTGCAAATGAGAATATACAGTAATTATACAACTCTTAATGGAACCAACAAATTCATAAAACTGTAAAAGAAAGCATAAATCTTGAACCTTCTACTTGTACGTTTTCTAAAGACATTTGTTTTCGCAGGAATACAGCATAAATAATGACAAAATAGAACTATTATAGTGAAATAAAGCTGATAAGAATATTAATATTAGAACAAATCTATTAAAAACTATTGGCCAAGGGCTGCTGCTTTAATGTTGACGTTGAAAAGCTAAATTTCTCAAAAAAAAAAAAAGAACTAATCTAAACATATGTATAAAAATGTATTAAAACTATTTGAAAGTTATTTGATAATAAAATAATAATTTAGTAATAAAAAAATTTGTATTTGCATAACAGCGAAATACCTAGATGTACTGGTGCACAGTATATCGTTTCAGCAGCGTTATTGCAATTTGCAATAGACACGCATCACAGGATGTATGCATTATTTAGTTTGCATTATTTATCATTTACATGTTTTTTTGATGCCTGGAATTTTATAATGATTTTAAAAGCACTCAGGTATAAGAAATTGCACCACTTGTGACTTTAACAATTAATTTTATTAAACTATTTTTATTTTTATCGGGAAATGATAAAACACTTGATTTTTGTCGCATCTTTTTCTTGAAGATATTTATAGATTATGCTTGAAAATACTCACAACATGTGCAAATACAGAAATACACTGCAAATAGCACAGACCACAATAAAAACGTGCTGGGGGCCCCCAAAAAGTTTACAGGTTGTTTATTAGATTTTATGGAGACGCAAATAGTAAAGATCAATTCATCAATCATTGACTAAACATGTGCATGAAAACACTCACAACAGTGCAAATACAGAAATGCACTACACATAGCACACACCACAACGAAAATCTGTCGGGGTAATTGATAGATTGTTTATTGGATTTTATGGAGATGCACTCCCACTGCAGAATTATCCCAGTTGATCTAACATTATAAATTCTTTCCAAATAGAGATAATAAGTCATCAGGAGAAATTATATTTATATCGCAATATAAATCACAAAATAATATCACAAAATAAAACAATATTGCAATGCCAGATTTTTCTAGTATCGTGCAGACCTTCTTAAATGTAAAAAATAAATAAATAATTTTAATCTAAATAAAAATAATACAAACTAAAACAAAAAAGAAATCTTTAACCAAGAAAAATTAATAGTTCGTTACATTATTAATCAACAATTACATAAACACTATAATATTACTTAATTTTAAAATTGGCTGTTTAAATTGCAACCAATAATGGAACTTTTTTTTTTTTTTCAAAATATTGTACATATTTCTTACCTAACAATTAATGTGAGTTTAATGGATAAACAAAAGAAAAGGGAAATAAAAGCCAATCCATGTTTTTTTTGTCTTCTACATGAAATCTTTGTGCTTTACTCATAGTTGAAGCTTATTTAATGATCTTCATGTTTCTAGGATGACCCTGTTCCTAATGGTCTCCGTGCTTTGCCGCTCTTCTATGCGTCAACCATCGGGATCAACACCTTCTCCATCATGTACACTGGAGCTCCTTGTAAGAAAGTCACCAAACACATTCATTCATTCATCATCACATAAATGCAGACATTAAATATACCTAATTTCCCACATTTATTCTGGTATTCTTTTCAGTGTAATGTTTTGATGAATAAAGTGTGAGTGTGTGTCAAAGTGTGTGACCGTGTCGTGCTCTTTCTGTATTTTGCAGTACTGGGTTTGGAGATGCTCCCTGTCTGGGCCATTGCCCTCATTACGTTGGCTGGTGCGCTGGTATGTGCCGGTCTGGTCTGGATTTTTGTTTGCCCCTGGATGAGAAGGAAAATAGCAAGTACGTACTGTCCTTTTCTCTTTTGTACACGCGTCGCTTTAAGTGCTGCTTGATGTCTGTCTTGAATGTTTGTACTACTTAGGGCCTAAAACTCGGTGCAGGCATGAATTAATACTTTTTTTACCAGACATAAAAATGAATGTGCTTTATTTAGTTTAGCGATTAAAATAAAACAATTGTTAACAAAACTTTAAAAATAAAAATATAAATTGAATAATAAAAATGTTTAATATACAATAATTAAAACCAGACAGAATATATAGACGAAGCAAAAGTTGTTGTCGTTTCTTTAATTGTATTAGACAAAAATAACCAAATCAGATTTTTATCTGTTGCATTTTAGCTGTTTGTAATATATTAAAATAACTTTGTCTATTATAATAATAATAATAATAATAATAATTATTAATATTATTGTTCAAGACATATATAAAAACTATTGAAAATTTAATTAAATTGAATTAAAGTATTTAATAATAACCTTTTAAATGCAGTACTAATAATGGCATTAATATTAAAGCATTTTTAATTTAAACATTAAGAAATCAGTATTTTTATCTGTTTTATCAGTTGTAACTGTTTGTGATTTGATTTATAAAAACTGCTTAAATAATTAAAAGGGCTTATTAGTATTAGTATCATCGGTGTTGGTATCAATAGAACCAGCAGCAGCAATCTACAAATATTACTCCTAAATTGACCCGTCAAGTATTTAATAATTATACTACCAATAATAACATCAATATTATTATCATTATAATAACATTTACCATTATAAGGTAAGATTAAAAAATATAAAAAATATAATTAAAACCATATCATATTTATTTGTAATATTATTGCATTTAAATTATTACTTATACTGTAATTCTAACATAATTATTTAAATATCTAGGTATTTGATTTGTCCTTTAAACCCCATATTTGTTTTAGGATTAAAAAGTCATATCGGTGTTTAGGTTCTCTTTATCATTCTATTAATTGTTTTTCATTTCAAGTAAAAAAAAAAAAAGAAATTGATTTCTCAATTAATTTTCCCTATTATTTATTATCCTGAGATTATTTATAACAGTACCTCTGATATTAATTTAAATTATTAAATATGGTCTTCAACTCTCTATGCAAGTTTGTTTTAAGATGTCTGTATAGAACCCATCATTGCATATACACATCTCTTGGTTTGCTTAACCCAAGTTCTGCAGATAGTATCTGTAATGTAAAGTGAATGCTGACAAAGGAAGTGCGGATCCAAATCTAGGTTTATTACAAATAGTCAGGCAAGCAATGGTCAACACAGGGACAAACGAGTACAAGCAGATAATCCAGAGTTGTAAACAAATGACAGGTAAGTGGTCAGAAGGCAGGCAGTATCAGGAATAATCAATCAAAAACAGAGAGGGACAAATACGGCAAGACAAGGCAAAAGGAAAATGCATCGTAATGTTCACAATTCAGTATAACACGAGTTAGCCCTGATCTGTGTGTGTGTGCGCTGTATATATAGTCCTTGTAATGAGTGAATGATGAGCTTTAGCTGTGTCTGTGTGTGTAAAATCACAGGAACTCGGAACAGGTGCGTGTGAGTGGTGCATGACTGGAAGTTGTAGTAGTTTGTTTCTTTTTAAATGTGTTTATTTTAGTTTCCCTTCTTATTTAAACAACTTTTTTCCATTTAGCTCCTCATATTCTCTTCAACATATGCAACAGAATTACTTTTTTATTTCAAGAATTACAACAACGTGGCTGTCGTTTTTCTTCTTTTAGATCAATTAAGACATTTAGTCTTTTCAGAACTAATTTATCTTCTTTTTTGGAAACAACTCGTAAATGTTATTAATATTGGTTCCTATTTACATGCTTATTATTTATTTGTATATCAAATTGTACTTTTCATATTTTTGCTTGCTTAGAGTTTAGACTGTGGGAAGTGTTTCAGGTGAAGTGTGCCGCTTGCTTGTGTGTGGTTGTTTGTTTGTTTTGTTTAGCAGTATTTTTGTTATGACTTGATGTACTCCGTTTGATTTATGTACTTCATTGGGACCCTCTCAAAAATGAGATGGTTCATCTCAAGGGGCTATCCCATTTAATACATTTAAATTTAAATTATACTGTATCCATCTGATGAGGGATCGATATACAGTCTTTGCAATGACATACACTAAATGTCCTAGATCATGCAATTTTCACAGCTCATAACTTACACAAGAGTTGTATGGAGTATTTGTTGATATGATTGGTAATATCGATAGTGTTAAACAACAGTTCAATCTATTAAATGTACATTACTTCAGTCTCTTATCGCCTTGTTTTACCCTGACTATAGTCTATAGAGATTTGATTCTGACCAAAACCGCATGGAAACATTTAAACACTGAGTATTAAGTAAAACAGTATTTTAGTCATTTTATACATCACACTTCTTTTTTTTTATATGAAATCTATCATCTGAAGACGGTTATGATTACTAACTGCATTCACAGAAATCGTGTGATTCACGTGTTTTTCCACTTGACACCTGGCCATGGAGATCAATGTTATTTCTAATGTAGCTTTGGAAAAAGTCAAAGATGAGTCTCAGCGTGAGGATCTGCCTCACATCTGCGGCTCTGCTGGGCTTTTGCTCATGTACAGAATGATTTCTCCTGGCTCCGTGTTGCGTTGGGCCGACGCTGAGAGCAATGAAAAGCAAATAAACCGAAGCTGTTTATTTGAGAACATCACTGTGTTTTCAGATGAGTCACGCAGACTTTGTGCCGTCGCTGTACTTTTTCAATGGCCACGTGTTTTGTTTACATTGAGAATTGCGAACTTTTTTTGCATTACAGAAAGATTTCAACAATGTTGTTTAAATATGTTAAATATGCTCTAATTTGTATCTAGCTCTTAATGGAGTATAAAAATGTAAACACGGAGTCTGCTTTAAAAGTCTTGTTTAATTTTTTGACGTTGAAGTAAAAGATATTTACTGAGGGGATTTGGGAATCTCTTTATCACACATTATTCAGAAAAACAGCATGGAAAACAAATATTTTCATGATTTTTGGTCAATACAATACTGTATATAATACTGTATGTACTGTATATATCAGGCAAATTATTTATGAACATTCCTCTTTAAAAACTGTGGAGTCTGATCTAAGCAAAGGTGGCTGGAGTGGAGATTTACGCCTCAGTGCAGGAGGAAAACCAGGTTTTGAGAAAATCACCTTTAAAAATAGGCAATGCAATTGAAATATGCAGACCCTAATTGATAAAGTGCAACAAAAGGAACACTTAAAAGTGTATTTTGGATGTTTTATTTGACTTAAACTGAAATAAAAACACCTTATAAGTGTTGACAAGTGGATGAAAAGCTGTTTTTGCTTGCAGTGTCTGGTCTAATGCACTGCTTTCACTCGCAGATTAGTGCTTTATTAAACTATTGCATGCTTGATTAAATTTAGTTTCAGATCAAGGGTCTGTTTCATAGTGCCGTTTCCCATGTGACAAGCTGTATAAATCCTTGAAATCTGATTTATTTATTCATTGGCTTTCAGGCTTTTTAGAAGTATCAATTCTATGGGTAAAGCTCAAATTAGCATCAAAATTGCACTAATGGTGCAGTGATAATGAATAAAAGCTACACACACTTTAAATTAGTTTTCCTCATTTACAATAGTTGTTTATTATCACTGCTCAATTAAAAAGAGCCAGTTGTGATCATACTTATTTCACAGTTTTACACGCATGGATTTTCTATGTTTATTAATGATTATGTTTGCTTGATTGTTATTATCACTGTAAGCTTGTAAATTATGCTTGTAATTTCCACTTTTTCACAAATTCCTCTTTGCAAACAGTGTTTCAAGGGATATTAATAGGGATACACTAATATTAAAAAGTTGAGCTAATACAACTGTATAAATAATATGATACTTTGTCATTTAACGTTTTTGGCCATTTAGATAAAAAAAAAAAAACATTTAATTGCCAAAATGTGTAAAAGTTGTTTCTATCAAAAGTTCAAAAAATAATATTTATTTGATGTATAACTGTTTTGTAAAAGCACATGTACAAATAAAGTTAGAAATGGCTAAATAAAAAGAAAATGAAGACTTTGAAGGGGCCTAGTCAATGTCCTGAACTGAAAACAATTGAGATGCTGTGACATGATCTTTAAAAGGTGATTCATGCTCAAAGCAATCAGTGTGGCAGAATTACAATAACTCTAAATACCTCCACAGCACTGTAACAGACTCACTGCAAGTCATTGAAAATGCTTGAGATAGTTGTTTCTAAGCGTGGACAGGTAATTAATTTGGGGGCAAAGCATTTTTTCACACAATGCAGTTTTGAAACCAATTTTTCCTAGACGTGTTTGTGTTATACAAGAATAATATTTAAATTTATTTTATGATCTGAAACATTAAAGTGACAAACATGTACAAAAAATAAGATATCAGTACACTTTCACATCACTGCAACTTTACTGTAATTAAAAAAGAATAATGAAAAAGTAGCATTTCCACACATGCACAAATAAAAATGTAAATACATTTTGAAAGTTTACAAGCATTATAAACATCTATTTAAGTTCCTTTCAGTCCGTAACAAATCCTGTTCTCTTCCAGCACTAATCCAAAAATGTTTTTGAGGCTTGGCATAACATAGAATAAGTCGCTTTAGAATATTTCACCGCACGTTTCAGAAAAAAAAAAAACACTGACAGATTATGTTAGAGAATATGGTACATTTAATGAGCATCTAAATGTAAACCCAAAAGAAATTTGTTTTCAAAATATTTAAAAAACAATATAGGCAATATAAGTAATAAAAAACTAATAAAGGATCTTAACCAGTATGGTACCAATATATATCTTTAATCTATAATAATAATAATTGATATTTAATACATACATGCTGGCTTTCATGAATTTCTTACTGTTTTCTCTCACAAACAGGTCGTCTGAAGAAAGAGCATGCACTTTCTCGCATCTCTGATGAGAGTTTGGATAAAATCCCTGAGGAGGAAGAGGAAGCTCCTGTGTTTAAAGAGCTTCCAGGTGCGAAAAGCAGCAATGACGCAGTGCTGCCGATGACTGAGGAGTCCACAGGAGAGCTCAACAGCCTGGCTAATGGAGGAACTGTCCTGCCCAACGGCAGAGTCTATGGTACGTGAAAAACAACTATGGTTGTTTTTTAATGGGTACCATCAAAGACCAAGCGATGATACTATTATTATTATTGCAACAAATGTTCCATTGATTAAACATGATGCATTCAATAAATGTTGGACATGATTTTAAGCTTCAAAGTGGAACTAAATGGTGCTGCTTATCTTTGCAGGAATTGTATCTAATAGCCAAATTGTATCTAATAGGGAATTGTATATAATAGCCAGGAGCTAGCTCTCTGCAAATCTCTCATGGTTGCCCACTGAAGCTAAGCAGGGCTGTGCCCGTACAGTACCTGGGAGGGAGACGAGATGGGAAAGCTAGGTTGCTGCCAGAAGTGGTGTTAGTTAGACCTGCAGGGGGTGCTCAATCTGCGGTTTGTTCAGGTCCTAACTCCCTAGTATATAGATGGGGACTCCATACTGCTCGTATACTGACTCTGAGTGCTGTCTTTCTGATGAGATGTGATCCTGGCCTCCTTACCATTCCCATATCATAATTGGCTTCATCACTCTGGCTTCTCTCTACCATTGCATCATCCAGGTGTAAGTGTTATAAAAATGTAAGAAATTGTTATAAGGTTAAATTCAGGGGTAGATTTAAGGATTGTAGCTAGTTATTACTCAGATAATGCAATGGCATAATAATATGTACACACAAAACAGAACTATAAAATAAAGTGCTATCTTTTTACTGATCAATGACACTGATCAAACTTTTTTTATTGAATCTGCATCAATCTGTCATGTAAAGCAACAAAAACCTGTTTTAATACAAGTTTATTATAAATATTGTATCATTGTAAATGTTGTACCCTAGGGGCTGGTTGCTTAAAATACTTGGGCTTGAGTCTTAAAAAGTTAGACTCCATTTTTTCCCCCCTAAAACACTGGACGTAACTTTTTTAAAGTCATTTACAAAAAGGTTGACTGATTTATTTCAAATGTAAAAAGCGAAAGTTCTTACCCCGGCTAAATGCTAGGTGGTTAAACTAGTTCTTAAGATGGTGGCTTTAGATGGTGGCTATGTATTTGAAAGTGGCCCTGAATTGGTGGAATGTGCATCTGATTGAAACTTTTGGTGTTGTTTTTTTACTATAAAATTGTAGATTTAGTTTACCAAGTCTTTACCTTTTTTAAACAACCAACTATTTACAGCTTTTACTCAAAGCAAAAATCTAAAATTACACCTGAAAGATATATAGACCTTTAACTTTTATTGTGATAAATATCAATGTCAATTGACAATTTGTGAATTTAATTTAAAAATGTTGTGTTTATTTTTTATTATTATTATTATTATTTATTTTATTTTATATTTTATATATTTAAAAAAATATATATATTTATTTAAAAATAATTACATTTAATTTAATTTTATTTTGGGGACATATTAGCCAGCCCATAACTACCTTTTGACAAAAATGTCCTCTGCTAAGCTAAGATATATTTGTTTCATTTAATGTTTGTTTGTTTTGTTTTCATCAGGTCGCACCAACTCCATGACCAATGGCTGCCTGAAATCTCCCGTTTCCAATGGAGGCTTCAGCTTCGACGGCCACATGCGCAGCGATGGCCAGGTTTACCATACCGTCCACAAAGACTCTGGTCTCTACAAAGACCTCCTGCACAAAATCCACAAGGGCCGCCTGGAGGATGAGCGCCACGGCTCCCGTCCCGACAACAACTACCGTCACCTCCGCCGCAACAACAGCTACACCTGCTACACTGCGGCCATTTGTGGGATGCCTGTACAGCCGCTCTTGCGCTCTGAATCCAGTGCGCCTCCGCCAGAGGACAGCGAGAAGCTTGTAGGCGACACCGTTTTCTACTCCAAGAAGCGTCTGCGCTACGACAGCTACTCCAGTTACTGTAATGCCGTGGCGGAGGCTGAGATTGAAGCGGAGGAGGGCGATGTGGATGTGAATCTGGCGGCAGATAAAAGGGAGCCACGGGTTCCGGCTGAAGGGGTGTTAGAGGACTGTGTTGATGAGGACAAGGCGGAGAAAGACAATTCTCAGGTCTTCCTGCTCTTCCACTTTCTGCAGATCCTCACAGCCTGCTTCGGCTCTTTCGCACATGGGGGGAATGATGTCAGGTAAGAGGACACTCAATGTGTTGGTTAATTTTTTAATTTTTTTTAATTTTAAGGTTAGTTTATGGATGGGTTGGTTAGTTTTTACCACTAATCGATAGATTAATCGGATAAGCTTTTTCCGTTTTCTTTTACAAATCTTTTGAATTGATTAAATTTAATAATTCAATTATAAGTTTTCAAGCAACAGGTTTGTTCCTTTGATAAATATTGCTAAATATGGTTGTTAGTGTTTTCTATATGTAGTTAATAATAATTATAATAATTCTTTTTATATAGTGGTTTTCTAGACAATCAAAACGCTTTACACATTTTTGGGGGAATCTTCTCATCCACCACCAATGTGCAGCATCCACCTGGATGACGAGACGGCAGCCATATTGCGCCAAACCGCACACCACACACCAGCTGATTGGTGAAGAGGTGACAGTGATGAGGTCAGTTATGATATGGGGTTGGTTAGGAGGCTATAATGGACAGGGGCCAGTGGACAAATTTGGCCAGGATACCGAGGTTAAACCCCTGCTTTTTTTTTTTTTTTTTTTTTGAGGAAAATCCTGGGGTTTCTAATGACCACAGAGAGTCAGGACCTCGATTTAATCTTTCATCCAAAAGACGATGTTTACTGAGCAGTATGGAGTTCACATCAATATACTGGGGTGTTAGGACCCACACAGACCGCAGGTTGAGCACCCCTGCTGGCCTTACTAACACCACTTTCGACAGCAACCTCCCATCCAAGTACTGACCTAGCACAGCCCTGCTTAGCTTCAGTGGGTGACCATGTGAGAGTTGCGGAGAGCTAGCTGCTGGCCATGGGCAGATGTGACTTTTGCTACACTAAAAATAATGTCTGCAAAATTGTTGCGAACAACTAATATGTGTTGAATTTAAACAAATTAAATTGAGTAATGTTCAACTTTAATTTGCTTGTTTAAATTCAGCCCAAATAAATAGTTAATTCAAGGAATAATCTATGAATAATTTTTTTCAATGTATATTGCAAAATCTCAAGTCAGAATTGCTGTTTTAAACATTATTGCTAGAATAATTGATAATTAAACTCATAACATATACTATACTTATATCTCTTTTTTAGCATTTAAAAAAAGTTTTTTAAGGTATTTTTATTATTGCGAGTTATTGCGGCTTTCTTGCAATTCAAAATTTTAAATGCCAATATTAAAGTAATGAATTTTCCAGCAGCAATAGCATTTGGGTCTTACAAGTCTTTGTAACTTTATTTCTTGCAATTTGTTATTCAATTTTATCAATTATATCAAATTTCCTCAGAATTATTATTAGTTTATTACTTTGTACACTTCTTAACAAGTTTACTAGATTTTAATTAGCATTTTACAGCACTGTTTTTGCACAGTTCTTAATTTCTCACAATTTTAATTGTGGGGTTTATAACTTGAAATAATAATAATAATAAAAAAGCTATATGTTCCATTATTATTTTAAGTTTTTAGTAAGATCTCACCATTTAGAGTTTTTCATTCAAATTTAAAGAGCCCAAATTTTGGGTTTTTGAAAATGCCCTTCCATGTAGTGTGTAACAGATCTTAGTGAAGTGAAATATCCAGCTAAGGCTTAAATCTGTAAGTGTTCAGTGTTTAAAACTGTTGATTCATCTATAAAAGAGTCGACTCATAGAGCTTCAAACGAGTCGTCTTAATAACGAGTCATCAGGTGTTTCGTGATAGGTAGAGTGTGCTGGGAGATCTCTTTGCCAGTTGTTGGAGTTTTTGCTCAATAAAATAGTTAGTCGTCTGTATTTTCAAGTCCATCGTCTGTATTTACATTCACCCTCTGGCAGCCAAAATTCACGCCTTACACTATAAAGTGTGTATGCACTGTGACTACTTTTATATTGTTGATTAGCTGCGGCATTTCACTCTGTCTCGTGCTGAAGGCTGGCAGTGTCAACCAATCGCAGCAGCGATCATCTGGGATAATTACGTAAAAATAAATGCAGATTATAAGACCATGAAAGTGTTTTTTGACCTTGCATGCATATTAGACTGTTGTTGGAGACCCTTACAACCAAAATATGACCCTATTTTATGTATAATAGTGGCTCTTAAAAAGCTATTTCTTAATTATAGGTTTATTTGCTTTTGCTTAGGCATGTCACAATAATCAATATACCCACTTATTGCAAAACAAATGGTCATGACTCATGACCGCAATCATTTTAGTGCTATATAAGGCCCATACATAACTGATTCTTGCAACATTTTAGCTGATTGTACACTATCTCTATTGAAGGTGTCAGTGTAAGTATGATTTTAAAAAAACACTATAGCATTTACTATAAATTACTTTAGCCAGCAGCTAGCTCTCTGCAACTCACATGGTCCCCCACTGAAGCTAAGCCGGATTGTGCCTGGTCGGTATCTGATATGGAGACCACATGGGAAAGCTAGGTTGCTGCCAGAAGTGGTGTTAGTGAGGCCAGTTGGGGGCGCTCAACCTGCGGTCTGTGTGTGTCGTAACGCCCCAGTAAAAAGGACTCTATGCTGCTCAGTGAGCGCCGTCTTTCGGATGAGACGTTAAACTCAGGTCCTGAATTTCTGTGGTCATTAAAAATCCCAGGATGTTCTTCGAAAAGAGTAGGGGTTTAACCCTGTCATCCCGGTCAAATTTGTCCACTGGCCTCTGACCATCATGGCCTCCTAACCATCACCATATCATAATTTGCTTCATCACTCTGTCTCCTCTCCACCAATCAACTGGTGTATGGTGTGCGGTCTAGCGCAATATGGCTGCCGTTGTGTCATCCAGGTGGATGCTGCACACTGGTGGTGGATGAGGAAATTCCAGCCCAATGTGTAAAGCTCTTTGAGTGCCCAGAAAAGCGCTATATAAATGTAAAGATATCGGATATTGCAGGCGCAGCCTCCGTTACTTTTTATCTTGCTTATCTTTTGTTAAAAGTTATTATTGTTAAGGATATGTGTAATCACATTCTGATTCCAATGTCTAATTATTAAATTGTTAAGATAAGACTATAATGAAATTAAATATTCTTAAGAATAAAATTTGATGTTTCCTTTGGAAGAGTGTACTTGCATTGTGATGCTATTATATTGTCATTCTGTCATTATATTATGACATGATGACATAAAATAGTCTTAAAAGGACTATAATATAGTTTTTATCATAATATATTTTGATAATAATATATCATACAACAAAAATAGATATCATGACTGTCCTACATTTGCTAAATTCTGAGCTACAATTCTGTGAGTGATTAAAATATCAGAATTGAAGCAAACAGGGTTTCTGGGATTCTGAGTTCTTTCATTATGCTTTTGAGAACCTTTAATATATTTGGTTGGTATTATTATTTGAATAATTTCAGCTTTTTATTTTTAATGTTTTAGCTTTTTGGTCTGCTTTGTAATTAGTGAGGTCAGAATAAGACCTACTGTACTATTTGCTGTGTTTCTTCACATTCCACGGCATTAGTGTGTCCTGAGAACAAGCATTCAGGTTAGTGGCACAGATCTGCTTCACAGCTCTACAGATGAATTGGCTCATACCCAGACTGCTAAGACCAAAGCCAGACGTGGCCTTTAGTTTGGGCAAACTTCAGCTGCTTAAGGTCTTAATGGTTCAGATCTTGCATTTACTTTTATTGGTGACATAATTTGATAATTGTATTGTAAAATAATTCTATTGTAATTATTAATAATAAAAATAAAAGTAATAATAACTCATTGTGCATTTAAATTATTTTAATATATTGGAGTAGGCATGAGACGATAACTGGTTTTAAGGTTTATCGCAGTTTGGAAAAGTCAAGGTTTTAAAAGCAGTAAAATTTATTGTTATACCATTCAATATTTGTAAGGATTTTTTTTGTGTTTTTTCTATGTGTTGTAAAGAAATCTGTGTTTTTGAAACAAATGTAGAAAGCAGAAGTCAATGATTTATTTTTATTTTTTAGCCTGACATGTTTACTGCTCCAAAATATTATGATTGTTTCCTAAAATAAAATATATTTTGTTTAACGGGGAAAAAGATTTTTTTCACAAAAATTTAAAAAGAAATAATTTTACAGCAGTAATCACTATACTGTGAAACCGTGATTTTTTTTTTTTATCCAAGGTTATCATACCGTCAGAAACTTATACGGCGCATACCTAGACTGGAGAGCAAATGAACTGAATAAAATATGAGCACATCTGTTACAATAAAATTTAAATGCTGTAAAAGGCATTGATTAGGATAAATATTAATAATTAGATGTGTTAGTAGTTCATATTTAATTTTTAATATTCACACATTAATGTATCAAATGGTTTATTGATTACATTTAAAAGTTTATTAAAGAAGTAAGGGCTTTGGCAGTTTGGAGGTTTACTACAGATGAATGTATTGTTTTGAAATTATTTTCTTAGTTGTAGTAGATTTATTATTATTTATATTCTTATATTTGGGTATATGCTTTTCTTATAGTGTGGTGGCAAAAATTGGAAAAAAGTATTAATGATTATTTCATTTAGGCCAAGGATATAAGAAATGAATCAAAAGTTACACTAGAGACATTAGTAATGTTAATAAAGTTATATCTATTATTTTTATTCTCATAATTCTTTAATATTTCTAATTATTACGTCCTGAAATATGCACCCCATACACACACACACACACACACACACACACACACACACACACACACACACACAGTTAAAGTCAGATTTATTATTAAAAACTGTGTTTATTTTAGCCAAAATAAAACAAATAATACTTTCTAAAGAAGAAAAAATATGATCAGGCATACTGCATACTGCTGCTTCTATTTTTATTATTATAATTATTATCACATTTATATAGCATTATATTTTATTATAAACTTTTATATTATAAAAAATATAAAGGAGCACCCATGGTTTCAACCTTTTTAATGACAAGAAAAGAGCCTCTCTAGAGGACTACATGCCTGCTAAAACTTGTGTACTCATATACTATATTTATTATATCCTGTTACTTTTATACATTTTTGATTGAATAAATGCATCTTTTCAAAAAGATTTTATTTAATTTCATAACTCGATTTTAGATTGATTGCGTGTTTTCATCTGCATGTAGTTTGTGTCATAAGTTTGCTGTAATCACATGTTTGTTTCATCTGTAACAGTAATGCGATTGGTCCATTGGTGGCCCTGTGGATGATCTACGATCAGGGTGGAGTGATGCAGGACGCGGCCACACCTGTCTGGCTGCTCTTTTACGGTGGCGTGGGAATCTGCGCAGGACTGTGGGTTTGGGGTCGACGTGTCATTCAAACAATGGGCAAAGACCTCACTCCCATCACCCCCTCCAGGTGAGAACAGAACGCCTCTGCATGATGAATGCATGTGAATCATTAAACCTGCAATGCACACTGTACCTTTCTGGCTAGGGACCACAAATTCCCATGATAGATCACCATTTAGATTAACAATCAATGGTTGACTTAATGTATGTGTCTACATACACATTCAGAGTGGCATAGCAGGATGTACAAATGAAACTCAAAACACAGCCATCCTCACCTAAAGGAAAGTGTCTTTACTGTAAATAAAGGCTAATTGTGTTTGAAAAAGCTATTTATAAAAACTATTTAATGATTGTACTCCGATGTCCACACTATTTAATGAGTTTACTAACTATTTAAGTATTGTACTCAGATTTACACACTGGCAACCGCAAACATCCTTAATGTGAGCAAATAGTTTTTGTTATTGTAACTATATTTGCTTTTCAAATGTGAGGTTGCTGTGCTTTTTAAGGAAACGGAGAATGTGGAAAGGCTAATGTTCTCTCATGACTGTGTATGACATGTTAAAGGCTTATGGCATTTAATTATTATTATTATTATTACAAGTAATTTTCAATTAATAATTGACATTCTTAATTATGACCTACATTTTTCTCAATATTTTAATTTGTTCATTGAATTAATCAAAAACGTTATTTAAAAAGACAGCACAAATGCACAGTGTGCATCTGCAGGTTTAATAAAATGGCCTGATTTGATAAATGCATGTTATTTCTAACAAGCTGTTTTTTGTTGTCCATCATATACGATTTTTTTTAAATAATCTGAGATGTGTAATATTTGTTGTCTAGGATAATATCATTGTTATTTTTACAATGTGCAAGCTGACAAGTATGTTACTAACTTTGCAAAAAGTTATGCAGTGAGCGAGTTACTGTATTGAATATTATATTCATTCAAACAGACACTAGGTGACATGAAGCATGGCTGCAGCCGGCAATCAACGAGATTAGTTGAAAACTGACATGTCAGGTCGGACACTTCGGGGCTCAAAGTTGCTACAGTCATGATGGCCGATCACATGGCCTCATTATTTGTTTATTAATTAATTAATTTATTTATTGAAGTAACATCAAAAGATTTACAGTACAAATAAAACAGAATACAGTCTCTACAAACTACAGTTCATTTTTTAACAATAAGGGAATTATTAACTAAATTTAATTACTGGTAGCCTATATAAAAAATGTATGAGAAATAAGGGGAAAACAAGAGGGCACATAAAAAGAAAAGAAATATGCACGATCATAGGATTATTTTGAATAATGAAAGCATTAAAAAAAAAAAAAACTTTAATCCAAAAAGATTGAACAAAAGGACCAAAATAAATGAGCTCCACTTACTAGAAATTTCCCAGGAAGAGCAACGTACATCAATGTCACTTTTAACATTTCTGAATAAATTACAGAAATTGTAATATTTTATAATCTTATTATTTTTTTATATTTGATAAAAAAAATGTTTTCATTAATTTTTTTTAAGAAAGCTTTATAGGGCTGGACAGGATCAATTAATATAATTACTTTATTACAAGTCTGTAAGACTTATTTGAGTTAATATTTAGGTTATTTACTAAAATATACCATTTAAATCATTTATGGAGCTGAAAACAGTCGTCTGTATAAAAAGGCTGAATAAACCTGTGCAAACAATCTAGCCTTTATAAACAAATTACTTAACAAAAGATGATACTATTATATGATAATATAGATGATAATATTTAGTCTTTTAATAAGCATGATGTATACAAGATTTAGATGGTAAAAAAAAGTTAATTGTATGTTTTGAAATTTGTGAGATGAAATTTGTGAAATAATAAACCCGAAACACAGGCGGTTGTTGTCATGCGGTGAACTTTAGAGCGCTGTCACGGTACTTTGATGCCACATGTGACAGTCACATGGCGTTGGTGCACCATCAGTCCGGACAAAATTTCTAACCAGCATGCACTGCCTTAAGACAGATTTTGATAGGTCTGCACAGCGCTGCATGAATTTAAATGCACCTATTTACTTTCTGCGTTTCAAAATGAATCACCATTTTGAACGAATCATTTAGATGAAAGATTCACTGGTTAATCATAAATACTTTCTACATATTGAAATGAATCAGCCATTTGAACGAATAGTTTAAATTATTGATTCAGTGAATCATGTTGCCACCTACTGGTGGTTTTAGTGTTGCATTTTTTTTTACAGCTAACGATGGGCTATTTTACTTCTGAATCAAATGATAAAAGGTACATTATACACTAAAAATACCTTTTTCATCAAAGTGAAGATTTTATTCAACAATATAGTCTACTAGACATATGTTCTGTAAACATGCGGTGAATGTCAAAAGCTGACAGAAGTGATATCTCCCCTTCTTGATTCAGGTGTAATGGTAGAGTGCAGGAACAGAGCATGTGCTTTGGCAGCAGGGTCATAACAGTTTATCTGATATTGAAATCTTGCTAGATTAGTTTTCTGTATATCGGCTTTTCTCGTCCCTCGTTTGGGAACTTGCCCTCAATCCCTCTTTGTGTTGCCACCGCAAATCGGGTTAAGTATCAGCGCAGAATGACCGTAATTTTACATTTTTAACACACTTTAGAATAAAGGCAGTTTAAAGAGATCGCTCTCTGTTTTGCACCCTCCTGGGTTTGCTAAATTTAGCAAGACACTTGTGCGCACGGCCTCAGCGACCTTGATTCACTTAGTAACAAGACAAACTGTCAAAAACAAATGAGCTCCAGTTGATCATCAGAACCAAAGCTTGTTACTCTATAAAAAGATGCCCACTGTTCTGAGAAAGAGAGCCACATGTCATTTTAATAGGGATGCTTGTGAAGAGATTGTGTGATTATTATACAGTACAGTCATATGACACTTCAAATGTAAAATGGTCGGGAAAAAAATAAGGCTGTTAAAAACCAACGACCAAAAATAAGTAGGTTTATGATTGCTCATATTTAAAAACTTTGGTATTAATTTTTAAATAAAACTCACCATGTATGAACCATGAAGCATGAACATTACTTTTTGCTATTAAAATAACGCCCATCTTCACTTATATTTTCCTTAAATGGGGTTATAAAATGTAGTGGATTTTTCTTTTATAAACATTATCATAAAACTAAACAGAATGGTAGTGTTTTATTTCAGCTTCTTGCCAAGAAAACATTTCTCATTTCAAAACATACAGAATTATTTTTTAAAAATAAAATGTAAATATTCACAAATTATTTTTCTAGTGCAAGGTGCACTTAAGTTATCTACCTACTTTTAATAGTTACATTAAGATAATTAAAATAATTCTAATTGGTATGTTGACAAGTACTTAGCAATGCATTAAAAAAACATTTAAAAGCTATAATATGTTTTCTTTTTAGTTTTAATTGTTGGTTTATGATCATGGAAAAACTAGTATAGATGGGATGAACATCAGCATTTTTTCAGCAATTAACCATTTTTTGCAGAATTATCTCCTTAGGCACAATAAACAGCCATGTAAACATTAATCCATTATTACCATGGCCACTTTATTAGGTACACTTGTCCAACTGCCCATTAACACAAATTTCTAATCCGGCAATCACATGGCAGCAAGTCAGGCCATTTAGGCATGTAGACATAGTTATTTTTATTATTATTATTGTTACATTATTATTATTATTATTATTATTATTATTATTAATTAATTAATTAATTAATTAATTTTTTTGTTTGTTTTTAAGTTCTTTAAAACCTAGCAAAAAAAAAAGTACATCTGTAAAAGTTTGTGTGAATGGTGTTATTTTTTTATATTTTAAATGTTTTAATTTGAAAAAGTACTTAGATTTGCTTACACATGTGCAGATTTTCCAAATATGTGTGTGCGCGTGTGTGTGACGGATCAGGTTTTCCGCTGAAGGGTCACTGACTGTTCAATCCTGCATGACAGTTCAGTCTATACTAAGTGA